CTACTCAGGAATTCTATTTCTTCCTGACTGAGTCTTGGGAGGTTATGTGTTTCCAGGAATTTGTCCATTTACTCTATGTTTTCTAGTTTATGTGCGTAGATATTTTCATAGTATTCATGGATGATATTTTATATTTCTGTGGCATCAGTTGTAATATCTCCTTTTTCGTTTCTGATTGAGTTTATTTGGGTTCTTTCTCTTCTATTCCTAGTTAATCCAGCAAGAGGTCTATCAATTTTGTTTATCTTTTCAAAGAACCAACTTTTTCTTTTATTGAAAGCATGGCTTTCCTGTGGGGGGAGGGGTGCTCCACCAGTGCGCTGCAGCTCAGACCCACACTGCACGCTCCTGTCAGTTCTGCCCATGTGTGCTCCCTTGACTCCCAAGTGTAGTTCACTAATCTCCCCTCTCTCCCCCCAAGCAACACAACAGGAGTCTTGGGGGTATGGATCCAGCCTATGGGCCTGTCCCCTGGACCCCTAAAGTCAATCCCTGACTGTGCCAGGGAGAAGCGTGCTGGTCCCAAGTTGCTCATGAGTGCTCAAGCAGGCTTAATGCCCCTCCACTTCGGGGTAAGTCTTGCAAAAAGGAGTGCCAGCAGGCAGGGGGTTCATAGTGCGAGCACGCCTAGGTCCACTGCAGGTCCTTAAGAGGAAAGGTGTGGGCCCACTCTCTACGGAAGCCTCAGTATAGTGGGCGCAACAACAGAGGGAAAACAGCTGCTCTGAGAGTCTCACCTCAATTGTCCCTCTTGGCAGCAGTGGGTAGGGGAGGGGTGTGGGAAGAAAAGAGTCTGAATGGAAGAGCCGGCACTCCAGCCCTCCTCATCCCTCTCCTTGGAAGATAGCCTGCAGCTTCCTACCTCTGGGATTACACAAATTCTCCAGGGCACACCACAGTCTGGGCAGGAGTTGGGACCTGTTTGTGTGGGAACAAGTTACATAAAACCTGAAGGGCTGGAGCTCCCTGAGGTAGACAAAGCATACTATGGGTGAAGAGTAGTGTGGCATTTGCCATCTTGGCTCTGGTCTGTGATGATGGGGAGTGACCCCAAAGAGGCTGGCAGCGTGATGCTTTATTTTCAAGAAGCTCCCAGTTCAGTGGTGGCAGCAGCTTTTGGGCTAATGTGAGTAGAAAAGCTCTCCAACAGCTG